GCTTTATATATAATATATAATGTATATATTATTTTAAATATAAATTATTAAATGCATATTTATATGCTTAATATAAATGCACACTATATTTATATATCAATTATACATATGCAAACACCATTTCAAGGAAGTGGTTGCTATTGAAATCAGCATTCTTCATAGAGTAAAATTGAAGCATTGAGAATTAAATCATTTGCTCAAGATTGCACTGGTTGCAGTTCTATTTATTAGGACTTCTTTATCACAAATTCCCTTTGATATTTCAGGTAAGAAAACAATAGTAGCACATCCAAGATGAACTTTCTTAGCACTGAACCTCATTCCATATCAACTCATGTAGTGAGGTACTGGATGGTCACAAGCTCAGACAACATCTTCTTATAATGTCAATGTACAATAAATCTTCCTTACAGAAGACACATGAATTGGCTCTGGCACTGATAGCCTCATCCCCAACCAAAGACTGTTTTGAATTTCTTAATGCTACCAATTATGCATTTTTAAGTGACCCGTTTTGGGCCATTTTTTCCTTTGCAGAGTGATGTGTGGTCCGTGGGAATCACTGCTATTGAAATGGCTGAAGGGGCTCCTCGTGAGTAAAAATATTTGATATTTATTGAAGGTTAAGGAAATGTGCATATAAATCTATTTTCTGGAAGAAAACTCAGATAATTGTTTTAACCATTCAGGTTTTACTGGACACACAGGTGTCACACTATGTGCAAGACTCTACGGTGATTTATCATTTCAGTGATTACCAAATGTTTTTGGCAGAATTGCCAGATTTAAGCCAAGTATATAGCAGGAGGCATCTGTATGAGTTTGAGGCCAGTCTGGGCTACATAAGCAAGACCCTGTTTCAAAAAATTAAAAAAAGCCAGATTTGGATATATAAAAACAGATTGTGCTTTTTTCCTTATGATAGTTTATGTTAGGCTGACAGGGTTATTTCAATTTAGCCGCAGTAGTGCTTGATCTTGCCATTCCTCAGCATCCAGAAGCTTAAAGTATTGCAGTCTATATTGACCAATGGAAAATTTAGGTTCCAGAACACTTATGGGCACACACTACTACTGCTTCAGGCTAAAATAGTTGGGAAAATATCCTCCAGTGGTTCATTTAGATTGAGTCAATACTAAGCAATGTTGGGTATTAAGCATTGTTTGGTTTTTTGTTTTTCTTTTGCAGTCAATCCAGCTCACACTTGGTCCCTTCTTTGCTCTCTATTTCCTATTGTATTCACCACCTCCCTATCATTTAAATGACCAAGCAACATCCTGTTCTCTTAAGGCACTGCTTTCTGGTAGGAAAGTGAAAATGGAATGGGAACATGGGTATAAATGACTGATATCCATCTAATGTGACTCCACGTCACATTTGCTGTTCTCAATATTTACATCTAAAGGTATAAATGATAATGAATTCCTGGTAAGTTGTGTGAAAAGTGAGAGAAATGCATTTAGGGATTGTGGGGTGGAGGGACTTCTTTGTTTCCCCTTCTCCAGACATCCATTATGTTCCCACATTCTTGTATGCTCTATCTTTATAACATCCATTCACCATATTTTGCAAACTTGAACTATCTTTTCATTATGTTTGAAGGCTAATGTGCAGAATTTCAAATACACATGTGGTAATATAATTGTTGCCAATTTCTGGTGTCCCTTACAATACCAAGGAAAGTTTGAAATAAAGTTAGAACAGATGTATAAATCAGTCTTGAAATAAGATTAGGGAGATGTAAACCCTATCTTGTGATTATTTTTGTCTAAAAACATGATTAAATTATGTTAGGTTGAGGAGTAGAACAGTTAACTGTTTCTGGTGGTGATTCTCCAATTTCTGTATCTTCTCCATATTCTCTCTCAGGAGCGCTTGCGCATTCGCTCTGTCTCTCTTTCTCTCCCTCCCTCCCTTCTTCCCTTCCTCCCTTCAGCTCCCTCTCTCTCTCTCTC